TTTTATTTATGTTCAAATATTTACAAAACCCTTTTAATCTTTATATATTATAAATTTGCATGGAACAAAATATGAGAGAATTATTTTCATATTTGCTGGTACATCTTTTAAAAAATGGTTATATTGTAAGGCATAAGGAGTTTATCCTTATGATGATCTTACTTGATACTAGATCAGACATAAAGCATTAAACTGAATTTCCATATACCATGGGAATTTTAGATTTCACTGATGTGGACTTATACATTGTACATTTTCATGGAATCTTATGTATACAGGCTTGATATAGAAAATAATATAAATTTTAAACAGCTTACAAGGAGTACCATCTTTCCACTTTTCATCAATTGTGGCCAATACAGAACTGATAAGCTTTGAAGCTGACTAGCCTTAGCCTAACAATGGTTCAGCTACATTTGAGTTATTTCAGTAGCTGAGAAAACAGCTTGTCAATTTAAGGTTTCTCTGACTGCAAATCACTGAACAAATAATAAATTACTTTATACATGTTAAGAAATTAACATGTATATCTGAATCAACTTCAGATTCCTATTTTAGCTTGGAATGTTCTAGGCTTCTCCATAGAGTTTCCATGTATTACACTTTTTACAAGATTCAGTTTAGATTGATACTTGCAGAGTATTTTGCTCCACAAAAGAAACACAATTGTCTTTTAAGTTAAACCTTTCAGAATTGAAGAAGGGGAAAGGAGGACAAGGAGCCTATAATCCTTAGATAGCAGCATCCCAAATCAGTATATGCATACAATATGTTCAGATTTTACTCATGTTCAGGGTCAGTTGTTGTGATTCCTAGCAATTTCTGTCATATTTCATCCTCCAATGCCAGATTTATAATTTGTGATTATCCTAGCTCAGCTGCCACTGTTTTAAAATGATAAAATCTTCCACAGAGTTATTGTGATTTATTATATTTGACTTCCTATGTTGAATAGATTGATACATTAGCTGACTCAGCTAAAATAGATCCCTCATTTAAAAAGGTGACCTTCTAATTGGGCAGTATATTCTTCAAAATATATTAATACTTTTGAATTCAAGTGTTCACAAAAATATCAGGGGCAAATACATTTTTTTGCAGACAGATCCTGTGTCCTCTGTGTGAAACAACGAAGTTTTTCTTTAGAACTATTATTTTGTTCAAATGTAAATCACAGATACACTGTGAGCTATATAAAGAGATAATAAACAGAATTTGAACTAGTTGCTTCTTTCTGTAGACAAGACAATTGCCTGTAAAATCAGTTAATGTTATTGGTCCAAGCTGTATTCAGTAGATTTTGACTTCTCATGAGAGATGGATGAAGTACGTGGGAAACATGGTTTTAACTCTACTTTTTGTCTTCCATTGTTTCACATGCCAATTAGGTCAATAGCTAGTTATTGTAAATTGGCCAGCTCTGCACAAAATGCTAAGCTAGATTCTGCTGAATCCTTGATAATTGGATGGATGGATGGATGGATGGATGGATGGATGGATGGATGGATGGATG